CTGCCTATTTAAAATAAGAAATTCCGTTACATAATCCGTTAAAACAACAAATTCCGTTAGTTTTTCTGTTAAAAACAAGAAATTCCGTTATATAGCTACTTTTAATATATCTCTTCTATATATAAAGTGGCTATCTAACGGATTTTTGTTGGTTTAACGGAAAACTTAACAGAATTTTTTTCCCACCGTTATGTTCGTCAGATAGAATTCCATTAGACGCACAAGTCATTGAATAGGCTAGGGTTTGTGGCTATTTCCTCACTGAAGCGAGGCAGCAGATCTGGGTTAATAGCAGCTTCTCCACATCCAAATTCGCAACATTCCCAAATCCAATCCCAACAAAATCAAATACAATACAATCCCTAAATTGAAACCCAAGCACAGAAGTAGAACGAGGAGCCGAAGGCAAGCGAGAGACGACTGCACAGGAAATACAAGAAGCATCATCAGGTCAGGTGCCATCCAAAATGCAGAGTCCTTTCACTCCTTCGGTAATTTGATTTTCCACGTTTTTAGCTATTTCTTTGTTTATTTTCGTATTTTCAGTTTCTTGTGGATTGTGGTTCTTATTTTTCAATATCCGGACAATTGTTTGAATTTGTTTACTTTTATTAGTTTGTATATATGTGATAATGTGAAAAAATTGATGAATCGAGGATTCTGCTGTGTCGGCTGCAGCATTCTATTTTTCCTTTTTCCTTTTTTTTTTTGTGATTTTTTTATTTTTGAATTATGAGAAATGATAACTTATGTTATATTATTGTAATTCCAATGAGTTATGAGTTATAATTCCAATGTGTCGGCTGTCATTTTTTAATTTTTATGATTTATTTTGGTGCCGTGGCTGTCATATTCAATTGAATTTCATGAAATCTAACTGCAAATTGAAATTGTCCAATTAAATGCAAAAACTTGGCGTTTGTCTTATTGTTTGACTTATTTGCTACCGTCAGTACTGTTGGTAGTTGGTTATCTATGATAAACTTGTGATTGTTCTTGAGTTGTTGATGGTGATGGTGATGAAAGTTGCAATTTGGCTTCTGAAGCCACAAATGAAGTGGAATGCTCTTATGAAGTCTTAGAAGATCATAAACCAGATGAGGAATCTGTGGCTGATGAACATAGACCCTTGACAAAGCCTATACAATTTCAAAATTATTTAAAAAATTTGGCCTGATTTTGAAGAAAATTATAACAGTCACTGATATTTTTGTAAAGTCTTATGTAAATTTTAACATGGCAGACAATATCTAGGGGCAAATATATTTATTGATGTCTTTTGCCGGGTTTCTTTTTGTGGTTGGAGTGAGCTGAAGTTTCTGGATGACGTAGACCTTTAACATTGCCATGTATACATATTACCCTCATCGGCACTGATTTTTAGTCATTTTACGTTTCAAATTTGTAAGCAACTCAGCTGTGATCATGCCAGACATCTATGGATGTGCAAAAATGCATTAAGTTCTATGTTAGGACTTCTGCGTCGACGAGCATGTACTTTCTTCAGTGCTACATCAAATAATTTAAAAATAGCTCTGGTTCAGATGTCCCTTGAATACAAGGAAGAATAATTATAGATACTCTTATTAATATAAGCCTCGAAATCTTTTTTGTTAGAACTTAATAATATTAAGTTTGTGTAACCTTCGTGTTGGTATGCCTTAACGTAGAGTTAGAGAGAATATTTTTCTTGTTACATAATCATGCCCATTTTTATCAATATTACACTTTTTTTTTTTACTGAAACTGCAATTAGTCAGGTGCTGGTTAGTGCTTTATACTGTATGGACTAACATACGATGTCTTATTCATCTATGGTTTGAGTTCTTAAATATTTTACGACACGTGAAAGAGATGTATATAATAATATGTGAGGATGGATATGTGATGCTTTGATACTTGAGATAAAAGTGATTATGCACTTGTTACACATAATTAATTCTTAACATGATGTTTTTCACGTCTTCAAATTTCTTGATTTTGAATTTTAATACAGGGCAACCTCAATCAGACATTCACCATATCGGATTACAACCTCGGGGAAGAAGGGGATCTCTTCAAGGCCCCTGAACCAGTAATTCAAGAACCGTTGATTGGCCTTGATCCAATGACGGCTGCCATTTCAATGATTTCTTGCAGAGAAAACCTTATCTCCCCTGATGCACTGACTGTGTCCGCCATTGAATCATCAATTGAGAGTGGGCAACTCCTCAGCGAGGTCTACTATTAATGCAAGAAGGATATTTTGGCTAAAGATGCAACAGTAATACCACTCTCTGAAATCATGAACATCAAAATTCCGACTCTGAAAACCGACGAACTCCCAAGTTCTGATGAAAAAATGCTTCCCGAGGGTCCGTTCCAGAAAAGTGTAAGTTCTGGCTGCTTATCATCAATGGACTGGATACGTGATGTTCCATTGGGACCAAATTATCTGATTCCCGGCATGGACTTGGGGGACGTTTATGGGATGCGAAGAGCATTCAGTGAGGGAGACATAAAGGTCAAGTTTACTCTTGCATCTTCTCTCTTCAATACTTGTTTATCCATTTTCCTTGACCCCTCGAGACTATTGAGTTGGAGAAAATGACCTCTTTAAGATATAAGTGGATATATAAAGCCCAACATTTCAATTACAAACTATATTAAAACAAACAAGTTAGAAATTCTGGTGAAATGATAAGTTGTCCTATTCTGTTCCTGTTGCGAACGGAAATCTCGCAATAGAAATATTTTGATTGATCCCCATGTATTTATGGCATGTTTGAGAGGGAGCATTGGATAGCACTCTACAGTTTGAAGGAAGGAAAAGAAATTAAATTCTTATTCATTATACCATTGAGCGGTGCGTACCAAACATGCACTTATTGGTTCCATGACAAAGTCTACGAACTGAGAAATATTTAGATGTTTCTTTCCTTCTAACAGGATAGGGCATGGTCATTGATACTCAGTTTTTATGACAGACTCTTGGTAGTGGTAATATAAGCCTCCTACCATCCCCAATGGGGCAATCACAGATTATCGGCAGTTGCACTTCTGAAGGGCGCAAGGAGAAGCTATCCAGATACTGGAGCAAGAAGAGTAAGAGGAATTTTGACAGAAAAATCAAGGTGAGAGTTTTAGAGCTTTTACCAAGCTATATTTTGGTCAAAAATTTATGTCAATAGCTGAGCTTGGCACTTCCTCCTGCTAACCTGAAACTAGGGAGCGCAAGATTGTGATTTTCTTGCTGGAAATGTTTGCACAGTGCTTATGGAATGAGAAGTTATTCCCATTAAAACATTTCTCTCTTGGACGTAGTGTGTTCTTCGTGATTTGGTCGAAGATGTTGAATCATAATTTATGTGTGGATTCATACTCTAGCATAATGTGCCCATTGTAGTTGTTAAATGATTTAGTTGCTTAAATCTTCCATTAGATTTAGCAATGAAACAAATGGAATGGAGAAAATGATTAATGTAGCCGATCTCAAATTATCTGGAACAAGGCTAAGAACATGTTTGAATAAGCTTAAAAGGTTCACTTAGATGTAAATGAGGAAGTTTTAAAATAAATAATTTTTTGTTAGTTAAAGCTGAAAATAAGTTTTTTGTCATTGTTGGATGCATACCACGATGAATGCTGGAGTTAAAAAGCATATGCTAATGATGTGTTTTATTTCAGTATGCCTGCAGGAAGGCCCTAGCCGACAGCCAACCAAGAATCTGGGGAAGATTTGCAAAGACGGAAGAAATAGACACGCCCAAGAAGCAATAACTCCGAGCAGGATGAAGAAATTTAGGAAGGCAGTAGGTAGAACTGATGCTGTAATGAAAGAGATCCATGGTAATGTTAGCTGGTATAATGAAAGTCTTTGCAGGATCTAGAAAATAAGCTGGGATTTAGTGGATTTCTTGCTAAGTGAAATAATCTGTAGAACAAATTTTCAAATCCTTGGCAATGAGTGAAACTAGAGGTGCCAATATGAACTAAGCAAACGTGCATTGCACGTTGCTTACACCTAGTAAATAAATATATGTGTGTGTGCGGGCGCGCGCACGCAAATGTGACCTGATTTAGTTTCATTTCCAATTTGTGATCTGATAGCACTAGAATACATTTATGTGACCTGATTTTAAACATTTTGTATCATTTTTCTCCGTAACTGATTCATATGTATTGTGTCATTCCAACCAAGTGTTTAACATTATGTCATTCCAAATACTTAATCTAGGTCTGAATGAGAACTAAGAAAATAGCATTAGGACATAAGGCAAAATATTTTTTTTTTTTTTTTGTTAAGATGTGACGTTTTTGAAATTTTTAAAAATAGAGGAAGTATCTATGATACTGTCATAAACTTTAGGGGAGGTTGTTATAATTTACTCAATATTTTATTTCCAATCTACATTACACTATTCAAGGTCAGTTTGAGCACAAATTAATCAAAGCATTGTTGCTTTGGAAACAATGAATGGTCATCAAAACGTGTCTGGTCTAACACGATTTTGGTGCAGTTCACATAATGGTGGGATGATGCAAGATAAATGATGAAATTGAAAAATATAATGCTAATGTAAAATGATTAATTCGAAATGAAATTCGCTCATATCTAATTTCAGCCCCCGTTGACCGCTTCCCCATAGAGGGTAGAAGCTCAAAATCACCTCTAGCATTGTCTATCATCAATTGATCTGATTTGATATAACATTTGGAAGTATCTCTTAAAGCCAACCACCCAATACTTTGTGTAAACAATTTGTAAATGACATTACAGAAACTTATAGAATGATAGTTAGACATTCCATTCGATTGGTGCTTATTGTCGCTTTATTGAAAATTAGGACTATGTCCGTAACGATTAATCGAGTCAATTGACTTACCATTTGTTGAGTACTTCCACACAAGATGCTATTGCTTTGTTACCATGCAGGTCCTAATGGTGTTGGTTATCTCCTCGCTCAACCGCTTGACCAATCTCGCCTCTACTGTGTCACCGAGCCCTCAGCTAAGTGATTGGTGCTGACAAAAATCGTCTCAAATTATTTCGAAACGGCACCCATGATCTTACCCTCCAACTCCCTGCACGCACCCACATTTCCACGATTCCAAGAATTTCATTTTCCTTGTGCCTACTAGATGTCCAATTGTGAAAGTTTCTTACCAATTCATTCAACCATCTACCCTCACAATATATTGTATTTTCTTGCTTGTGGAATTTTTCCTTCTTCTTTTTCGATTATTTGACGCTTAGATTTTTATTCTTTTGCTATCGTACTTTATAATTGATAATTTATAGAATCACTTTGTTAATTATACTTATACAATTAATCACTTCTTTTGTCCTTTCAACTTTGTATTTACGCACTAAGCTCCTATTTAAGCCACATTATTTTTCTCATTCTCATTTTTCTACTCATTTTCAACCACACATTCTTAATAAAATAATATTTTCCATTACATCAACAGTAAAAATGTATTCTTACTCCCAAAATATATACAGGGGCTAATATACTTCATTGTTCAAATATACTCATTCGATAGATTATCTAACGGTAAAAGTACACACCAAAAACCCTATTTATAAGCACTAAAAATCACACCCTATATAAGACAATATAAGTAACAACGATGATACATTTGACTTATCTTTTGACCTTGCAAATATTTATTTACAAATTTGAATATAAATTAACTAAGGAAGAAATGCCAATTGTTTGCTCAACTTTTGCGAGAAATAGTTTCCGGTGAACCCGACCCGGATTCTTGGTTCAGGATTCAATTGCAATTCACCCAGCTTAGAGTAGCACTCCACTGTCCTTCAAAGCTGCAGCCAAGTTTCCTATTCTTGCACCATCCCGGCGAGCAAAATTTTCTCTGCAACAGAAAGAAATTTCCGGCACAGGAACGAACCCAACCGATCTCTTATCTGGCAAAGCTTCACCGAAATTTGATCCATTTCGGACAGGAATTTCATTAGTTGTTCGTTTGTAAGAGCCCAGCCACTTGGCTTGCATGTAGGCAAATCGGCGCCATGGCGGCACGTGAATTTCCACGCGCTTCATGGACTTCTTCATCGCACTGCACATTAGCCTTACAATTTGCTTCAGTTCATCTACTTGACCAACAAAAACTGGACGAAAAAGATGGAGTAAGGAGGTGTAGAAGTCCGTTTGACGAGCTATTCTGAATTCTTCTGCTAGAAGAACTTCAATTATGTAGCGAGTCCCTCCAACATTTACGTCAATGTACTCATAATCCCCAGATATGCAGTCGCCATTTTTCTCCCACTTTGATTTGCAAAGACCTAAGTTCAAAGAACATAATCGTTAAACATTAATATAAGAGGTATTCATTTGAATATATTGAGAAAGAGACTCACCGGCATTAAAGCCTCTATCGCGTAACCGAGACATTAACCGGCGTTTCAGTTCCGACGAGCTGTAATCACCGATTTCCTTGTAGGCCATTTCTACCTCAGCATGAATTCTTCTTTTAACATCATCAGTTTCACATCCCAACAGTTTTTTCAACGAATCTTTCAGTTCAGAGTTGTGAGAATTGCTTTCCAATTCAATCTCATTATCTTCTCTCTCTTGAATATCTTCTTCGCTTTCTCTTCTTTCTCTGATTTCTCTCTCTATAAATGAATTCACAAGATCAGACAAATCCGCCGAGTGCTCGCTGCCGCTGCTCTCATCACATGTCCTAATCCTAGCCCCCTCATTGAAAACTGCCGCTACCCTTTTGAATCTAACTGGTATTTTCACCATTTCTATAACTTTTGGAAGAGAATGATTGATGAATTGAAGACGTCAATTATATAGAGAGAGAAAGTTTACTTCTTATTTTGTAATGGACGATGTTGTCATCGTGTGGTCACTATGGTAAAAGGATGTTCACGTTTCGTTGAACAGGAGAAAATGAAATTTGTGAAAATGGAGTCACTGGGATTATAGATGAAGACATTGTACGTTGTACGTGTATATATACTCATTTACATATTTAATGCGGCATTTTTTCTTTAATTTGCTTCACAATTAAGAGTTCTCACAGATGAATCCACCCAGAAAAAGGGCTATGTTCATTATTTATTAGAGTATGTTTGATGTAAATTTTTAGCAAATAAAACCCATTGATTATATGGTTAAAAAATTAGCAATCTTATCCATCATTACAGTTGGCAAACACCAGTTTAGGTGATAATAACATGAGATTAAATGATAAATTCATTTAGGTGCAAAGTCAAATAATTTATTTAATTAAACATATAAAGTGCAGTTTAACATAAACTGGTGCACTAACAGCAATGGTACTAAATAGCATTATTTTTAAAAAATTAATATAAGTTTTGAATGAAATGAACAAGTGATTAAAAATGAAATTTGACTAATTTTTTTTTAAAAAATAAAATCAAATTTTAATAGATTTTAATAAAAATTAATAAAATTATAATTAAAAAATTATGAATTTTATAAAATATGTAATTAAATTTTATTGTGACTTTAACTTAAATTTTAGTAAACTGTTTTTAGTTGAATTTAACAAGAGCTATATCAAAGATGCTCTTAATTATTTTTATTTTAGAAATCTGTGATTTTTATTTTTCAGATAATTCACTCTATCTTTCTCTCTTATATACTCATTAATAAAAAAATGACAAAATAATATTTTCTAAATTGAAAACTAAATCAATAAAACAGATTTAATTAATAATTTTCATACAAATAAATTATAGGCAATTGAATTGTTTAAAATTTATTTTCTTTCTATGCAAATTTTATACTTGCAATCAAGTGCACCTTAGATAAAAATGCCGAGAGTGACTCTCTCAAAACTTTTTTAAAAAAAGCACAAACAAATAAAAATCCTATCCGACGAATCCTAATTATAAGCGAAACGTGCACTTACCAATTGTATGCAGCACAAATAAACTGAGAAATTTCTTTTTGGCTATTTTTTTTTTAATTATTATTTGTTACATTATTGTCTCTTGTTCCACTCCAGTCAATCAATTACGCCATGACTGTGACATCCATGCATTGAAGGGAGTCATACAAGTGCAAAGCACAGTTTGACTCGTGCAATGCCAAAGATAGCATGAAATTTGTCATTTTTGCTCTTCTATTTTAATTAATAATAATAACGTCAGGTGTACAAATGTGGAGACTCGAGGCTGTGAGCTCAGTGAATGGCCAAGTTCGTTGAACCTAGAAACCGTCTATATACATTGAATGGTTAACTCTGAAAAGTGTGTTATCCGTTGCAAATTGTTGGATCCCAAACCAAGAAATGTATCTGTAAAGAAATTTACTCCTCGTCTTGGGACAGATACATTTGATTAGCATTCAAAATAATATATTCAAGAAATAAACAAAAAAATTATATTTTTTGTAAATTTCACACAAGCTATTTGAATTATGTGATGAGACAAGTTGTATATTCCTGAATATCTGAGACAAATATTAGTATTTTAAGATTATGTTTGAGCTCCATTTTGTGTAAAAAAAAATGAGTTTTGAAATAAAGATTTTTTGAATAATGTCTGGTTAAAAAGTATATAAAAGTTTTACGCTTACGCGCAAATTATTTTATTAAAAGAATGTAATTGAAAATAAATTTGAGAAAAAAAAAATAAGTTTTTAGAAAATGAAACTCAAACGAGACTAAGGGTGCGTTTGATGGATATTACCGAGGAAAGAATATATTTTAAATAGTGATATGATGATAAATATGTAGTTAAAAAATAAGAAAAAATTATTGATATGATAGAAAATATTATTTTATTAAAAAATGTGTGGTTGAAAATATGAAGATCAAAATGTATTGCAAAATTGCTAATTCATATATATAACATTTTTAAAAATAATTTAAGTCGGTGATGAAATATAAAACTAGGCCTTTGTTTTAATTATTTTGTTGATTTTAATTTAATTTATCTGTCTAATATTTAATTTGTCAAATGGTGTTTATGTCCTTATACTGTAGTAGGGTTAATTTTCTAGGGTTAAATAACTATTTAAACTCTTTTAGAAGTAAATTGTTTTTTTGATTGTTTTTTGAATTAAATAAAATACTTGGAGCTTTTACCCAATTATTTGTTGTTTTTGGGTATTCGCCGCTCGAATTAACAAATTGTGATCCCATATTATTGATCTTGCTTGCTTCTATCTACGTCAGTTAGATTGATGTGGTCATATGGATAGGTGGTTGTATCGAAAGCTTCTCTAAAGATAGATTGATGAAAGGTTTTGTTTATAGCTCCAGAATCAAGTCCAAAATGCTTTTCAAGTAGAGATTGAATAAAAATAGGAAAGCAAATCATTTTTTTTTTTTTTTTGTGTAATTTGTCTCACCTTGCACTCGCAAGGCACCTCTTTTTTATCCCATGTTCAACTTGGTCCCTAAATTCTTCCTGTTCGGCTATAATCTCTTCTTATTTATATATTTGGTCCTTCATCTTACAATCTTCACACTTTGATCTTCACCATCCTATAATTATCCGTAATTGATCTTAATGTAAGTTTCAAAATTTGCAATTGAGACTCAAAACTTTCGAAATGTGTGATTTAACTCTTGAAACTTGTGAATTTCGTCGTATTGCCTTTTTAATTCTTGTAATTGATCATGTGCAGTTGATTAATCTTCAATTACTTTGAATAAACTCCAATTTAGATCAAAATCATTTTTCTTTGTGCCATTACTTACTAGTCGGAGATTTTCCTATAATTAATACAATTACACTAAATTAGGTAGATATCAACTCAATTAGTAATAATTAGTCAAGTTTAAAAGTTAAAATAAGTGTATAAAATACATTTATGAAAAGAAAAACAAACAAGAATTTGACTAGAGGTTAGGAGAATACATACCTTTACATATGCATGACTATTGTATTTTCCTTGACCCCAAAGGATATTATACTAAATTTTAGGAGCTGATAAGATAGTTTCCTTATGGAAGCCCATGTCCAATACATATTCATATCATATTCCCGAAATCACGGGGTCAATTATCGAGGGATTGAACATAATTCGAAGGTCTTTTTCTGTAAAACACATTAGGTCCTCGTCACGGGACTCTAATGACAAGGGGTTCGGCAGGTACGCGAGGCCCTAATCAAGTGGTGGTCCTTGTGAATACCATGCTCCATGCGGGGATTGCCGTAGGATAGGCTTTATGGGCTAGCTGCCTCACTTAAATTGAGCAAAGTTCAATGTGTTGGAAAAATTGTTATCGTCTCGATGATCTTTCATGTTTGACCATCAAGAATTTATGAACCAAAGTAGATGTGTACCTGAATCAGATATGATTATCACAATGAATGAGTCATATAGTTTTAGTCTTCCAGATTAACACGTTGTACCTTTGGTTCTCTCTGAAAATGGGAGCAAGAACAAAATGAACAAAACTTATGATCTGAGGACCATAACAGTGTATATATATATACACTAACGGCCCATTGACCTAAGTTGGCTCATCATGAACTTAGGAACATGTTTGGTCTCTACACATAAAGACCCATACTTTAATGAGATATTTCAAAGCCCAAAATATCAAAATCTTACTAGATCACTTTAAACAAGTTTAACCAAAATTGATAGCCTTTAATTTAATACACTATATTTTTTAATTTTATTTCATGTGGGATTTTATTGTTTTCGAATATTGCTCTTTTCTTCTGCAATAGGGTATGGTGACGGTTGTGGGTGTAAGGATGACTGGATTGATGTGGTGGTGGTGGTGGAGGCGTAGTCGGCGTCGCTGCAGAGTAAGAAGGCTGCAACTAGAGTTGGTGGTGTCGGTGAACCTTTTTTGATCTATGACCAGATCGCGATTTGATTACGGGTAGTTCGTTGTGACTGTTTGTGACCGAATGTGACTGTTTGTGATCGATTGTGTCCTTTTGTGACCGATTGTGACTGGTGAATTGCAACTCGTTGTGATTGATTGTGTCATTTTGTGACCAATTGTGACTTTTGGTGACCAATTGTGATTGATTATGACAAAAAAAATTTGAAAAAATTTGGAAGTTGGCCTCCAGAACGGGCGTCGGGGTGATCGTCGAAATAGCTGTTAGAGTGATCGCCGAGAGTCACCGAAGCGGCCACCGGAGTAATAGTCGAAACAGTCGCTGGAGCAATCACCGGACCATTGCCGGAGATTGAGGGAATGTGGTGTAGTGAGGTGTCATGGGGTGTAAATAATTCATATATATTATATTATAATTTAATATTTAATAAATCTATTTACCACCTGATTTTTGAAATAATTAAACAAATTTGTTAGTTTTGAAAAGTAATTCTTATATGTAGGTTTTGTGTATTGTTCCATTTTATATTTCTATAAGTAGGACTAAAGATGGCCCAACGTGATTTGACACACTTATATTGCCACCACAATTTTTATTTGTCATACCACATTTTAATTACAGTTAAATTCCTCAAATTTTGCTTATTATAGCAATTATTTTCTTAACTTTTTTTTTCGTCGAATTCTTATCTTCAACCTTCCATCAATTATTATGTTTCGTCCTTGATGATGATTTATATCATAATATTTTATTTTTATGTTTTGAAATGAGAGAAAAATATTTTTTGTGCAATTTCTATTTATTTATTTCTATAAAAATATGATGAAAAATAAATTGTTTTACGCCATTTCAACGAAGTTTTGGACATAAAACTGTTATCAAATACAAAATGTCGTAATTAATGAAAAGTTTGATGATAAGAATAACATTAAGGATGTGTTTGATCCACATTATTTTGAA